AAAAATGCAACAGCCATGTTGGGCAGCGAATCACGTATGTTTTCTGACTCAGTCGCCAGAAATAGTTCCTTGCCAAGAGCAGAGATCCGAGAGAGACCTGCTGGAGCAGGAGGGTCTTTACCGACATACTCAGCCTGCGTCGTAAGAAACCTGCTGTCGTCAGGTGTGGCTACACTGGCATCTCGTCAAGGAGGGATAGGCATGAAGTGATAGCCGATGAGTGAGAAAGCCGGAAAGATAAACTGCTGTGTCGTATCCCCAGTGTCAAGACACTATTTCACAGACAGCTTTCTGTGAGCCTCAGGGGACAGCTCCCGAGCAGGGCGCACAGCGAGAGAGCCCCCTGGTCTTACGTGCGCATGTGTGCGGACAGGTGGGGCTGATGGCTGGGTAGCACAGTTAGGAAGACAAGTCCAAGTTCATACACAAAGGAGAACGCCATCGAACTGGGTCCTCACTGGGGTAGAGCTGGTAAGCTGCTGGCTTTGTTCTAGGCACAGAGACCTGGATACTGATCATGCCCCCCTTGCCCAGTATCTGCTGAAGATACAGTCCACATTGAAAGTCACAGGCCTGGCCCGGGAAGACAATCGGAGGGTGAAGATGACGCAGGGAGGAAGGCGTCCCCCTCCGAGGACTCCTCTGTCTGAACTCTCATGAGCACATGGACCCTTCTGGAACCAGCTTCAGAAATGAAGGGAGGAGAACTGGGCCGTCTCCGTATTCCCTCACTTCAGAAAACAATCACTTTCCAGATGTTAATTAGCTTTAGAACAACACGGCACAAACTCCTTTCTTACAAGGTGCTGCTGTCTTTAAACTCATCCTGGCTCGGAGACAGCCAGCCCTGTGATAGAAATGCCCCCGCCCCCCTCCGTGGCTCACTGACCCCCAGTCGCCAAGGCCACCCCGGGTTGGGGTGAAGAAACTGACATCTTTTCATTAAGGTCACTCATTTCTGGTCTTCAAACAGTCAGTATTCATGGGCCAGTCGGTTATAAAGCATTGCACTTCACCAAACTTTACTTAATGGTGTTAAAATGGAGAGAAACATCAAAAATGCACACGCACCAGCGAAGGATAATTTGAAAATATCCGTGAATCACAGTCATTCATGCAGTAAATACATACTCACACGCTACTTACTGATTTTACAACAGGTTTGCTGTTACCTGCCCAGTAAAGGAATTTAAATATGAAAACTGAAAGATCTCCCGCGGGACATGGGGACTCGGCTGCTGACGTCGCCATCAGGGACTGGACAAAAGCAGACAGTCCTTGTGCAAAATGGCAACACCACCCTGCGTGGCTCCCTTTGTTTGTGCTACAGCAGATTGCCAGGCTGCAGGTGGGCCGGATCCACAAGTCTCTCTACTGGTTAATTCTCGGAGACCCAGGTATTTGACCCAAGGCATCTGACCCAACCCATGATTTGACCCAATTCTCCTGTTCTGCTGATAAAGAAGCAAAAATAGGTTTCAAGATCTCACAACTAGCTAGTGGTACGGAAGGGTAGGATACTGGTCTTATAGCAATGTGAGATTATCTGTATATTTATTTTTGATAGTGTTTAATTGGTTCAATGTAATGGCTTAATGGCTCCTAACCTTTCAGCTTTTAAATTGCTTTGTCACAAAGTTAACATTCCATAGCCCTGCTGGTCAGTACAATAACCACTAGCTGCATGGGCTATGGACCTCTTAAGTGTAGCTCATCCAAACTGAGATGCTCCCTAAGTGGAAGATCTATCATGAAAAAAAAAAAAAAAAACTTGTAAAATGTCCCATCAGTGTTTTGTATCAATTATATCTTTAAAATGTCACTTCTGAGAGACTGGGTTAAAGAAAATATGTTATTAAAATTCACCTCACCTTTTTTTTTAACATTTTATTTATTTATTTGACAGAGATCACAAGCAGGCAGAGAGGCAGGCAGAGAGAGAGGGGAAGCAGGCTCCCGGCTGAGCAGAGAGCCCAACTTGGGGCTCAATCCCAGGACCCTGAGATCATGACCTGAGCCGAAGGCAGAGGCTTTAACCTACTGAGCCACCCAGGCGCCCCTCACCTCACCTGTTTATTCTGGCTTTTCGAATGTGCTTCTTCGGACGTGGTTCACATGCTCTACTTATTTTGGACAGTACTGGTTTATAGCAAAATACTTCACTGCACTAAGGACGGGGGGACAGGGCTGCAAGGGATCTTTCTTTCCTGGATTTGCAAATGGCGAGAGCAGAGCAAGAGAGGCCATGAGAACATCTGCTCCAAGCCTCTGAGGAATCCTCACCCGGTGAAGGAAGAGAAACTTGCAAGACTCGAAATAAAACGCGACGGCCGTTAAATGACTTCAGGTTAACCCTTACTTGAATACGCGTGTGTACATGTAACTTGTAAAACCGCATCAGCCCATCGTGACGGTATAACAACCATCACCTTCCCTTCTGATCAAGAGCAGGTATCTTCCTAGCTAAATCGTAACCAAAACCGGTGTCCTAGAAACCAGTTGTGTCTTCAGAGAGACATGTGCTTCTTATGAGTAGCTACACCAGACGGAGCGACTGGCGGGCGGACAGCTAACGCACCTGACAGGTGAGAACGGGACCCAGTGGTTATCTGAATTGAAACCTGCAGGTCGACACTGCGCCCTCTCTGACTTAGAACCGTGTGCTGGCAATCTCCTCACTCCAGAAAACCAAATGCTCCTCTATAACAAAGAAATTTTTTTAGTGCAAAAATTCACTGCATTTACCTTGGAGGCGGGGGCGGCGAGAAATGATGGCTCTGTCCAAATCAGAAGGTTAATTACATATCAACTATGGCAACAAAATTAGAAGAACAAACACGCGTTTACTGTCACAGACACGCTCTCTTTTGACAACGAATGTGGGTTATTTCTCAAAGGCTCTAATTTTTCAGTAAGATGTGCAGGTAGGCGAGCGCAGACAGCATTCCCTGATTGCTGACGACGCCAGATTGCCAGCCGCAAGCACGAAGGCACTCCCACAACTCGGAATTCAATTTGGGTGTTTTCTGAGTCTCTCCTTAGAGAGGAACAACTATTAAAGCTGGAACAAGAAAAGATTCTGGAGGTTTCTGCAATAACCGTGCACATTTAATTGCCGTCTGCAGGGGTAGCTCAGGAGGAAGCAGGGATTCTAGGTGCCCTGAGACAATCACCTCTCCCCGATCCCTTCCCTGTGCTCACCACCTGGACAATCGCCCCGTTTACCAAACCAACCGCCATGTGTTAAAGGGGATGAGAAGGTTTCCCTGCCTTGTCCCTCCTGTTTCTGTGAGATGAGCCACGGGGCTTCCAGTGTCTCAGCCCACACGAACGCTGGGCTCCTGCACTTCCAGAGACAGAACTGTTGACGGTTCGCAATTTCAGGCAATGAAGCCCCCCTCCAAAAAATAGTATCATCCCCCCACAAATTTGTTAAATTTATCCTAATTTTACCCTCCCCTTTTCTCTCCCTCCCACTCCACCCCTTCAAATCCAAATGCCACTGGGAAAGAAGTGCATTTGGACTGATCGAGAATATGAAATGCTCTGGCTTTCTACCGTTACCTAGAAAATCGTCCTTAAAAAGAATATTTTATAGGTTTTTAGTTCAAAGCAGGGAAGGTCTCCTATGCTATGACTAGCTTCTCGCTTGGAAGGGGGTCGTTCCGAAGTTAATAAGGGCAGAGATGTAGAATAAATCCCCAAGGGAGACGAGCTGTGTCACTGCACAGTTGGAAGGACTGAATCCCACCACGACGCTGTATTTCTGTGGCCAATGGAGGGAACTAGGGGGTGCACTGAGCCTCCAGTTTAAAAGTCTCCCAAACCCCCAAGAACGGGAACTGGTTTTAAAGGAGAAAACCAGCAATTTTCTGGCCGGACGGGGGATGGATGGAAGACTCAGGGCGGGAAGCCAGGGCGAGAAGCCAGCCCCGCTTTGCAGGGAGCCCGGGAGCTGGAGCTCCGAAGGAGTCATTGTCATCTCCGGGAAGCCACGTTCTTACAACTACAGAAGGGGTTTGGTGGGCATTTCCCCTGCGCCTGCCCTTACCCCAGGGCACACGGGGCAGGGGCACACATGAAGAGCTCATGAGAAAGGAGCTCGTGAGAGCTCCTTTCTTTAAAAGGAGAATTAAAATATATCGCCAGGTCTCAGCCAAGCTTAGTCAAGGGCTGCGGTGCGGTGGGAAAACATGCTGAGCCAACAGCAGTCCCAACGTGCTCTGCATTTTCTTCCCCTCGGACCCCATCTCTGAGGACTCTGCAAACCCATTCGATCAACTTCCACAACAGAACACCTGCACCGCAGGCTTTTCTAAAGCACTAACTCCTGTTTTGGAAGGAATCCCCAGGAACGCGTACGAGACGGGTTTTCTTTTTGCAAGAACACGTTATGGACGAGGGGCCGGGACGCACGCCCTCGCGGACAAGGATACAGAAATGCAGCTCGTCCCCCGCGGGCCAACTCCGCCAGCCCGACTGCTGACTCGCCCTCCCGGATGGCGGCGATCCCTTTCCCGGGGGCTCGCCCCCGAGGATGCCCGGGCCATCGGAGCCCCACTGCGGACGCGGCGAGGCCCCAGCGAAGGAGGGGGGGTCCTTACCTGAGGAGCCGCACAACTCTGCCCGGAGCCTCTCCCGAGCTCGCCTGGCATAGGACAGGGCAGCGCAGGCTGTGCGCGCCGGGCTCCTCCCGAGGCAGGCGGGGCGCGCGCTCCCTGGCGCCGCCGCCGTGACGCTGCTGTCAGCTGCTCGCCCGCCGTGCGCCCCGCCACCTGCGCCCCGCGCCCCCGCGCCCGCGCCCCTTCGCCCCGCGGCCCCAGTCCCTGCGCCCCGCGCGCCCCGCGCGCCCCGCGTGCCCCCCGCCCCTGCTCCTTGCGCCCCTTGCACCGGCTCCCCGCGCCCCCGCGCACCTGCGCCCCACGCGCTGCCCGCACCTGCGCCCCGCGCCCCCCGCGCCCCCGCGCACCTGCGCCCCGCACACCACGCACACCCCGCACCTGCGCCGCCAGGCCGGCTGTCCTCCCGCCGTCCTCCTCTCGCTCGCTCTTCGGTCGCCGACTTCTGAGCCCTGCCAGCTGCTGCAGCCGCCGCTGCTTTTGCTCAAATGGCGCCTGCTCGCCTCCCAAGAGCTTTTAGGTGCCGCCTACTGCATGCTCCTGGAATAGATGGCCAGGACTGGGATTTTCTGAGAATTCAAGGAATTAAAATCATTCCATTGAAAGTGCGCCGGGTTCTTTTGTTTTAGATCCTTCGCATCGGCAGCTGTAGGCGCTACGAACCACCTAAGCTTCTCTTGCAACGTCCAGATACGAAATTAGAAACCAGCTCAGTGAGAGGGCAGGTGAAATCAGGCCGTGCCCAGAGCCACCCACACGGCGCAGGTTAGTACCTTCTCATTTAATAGGCTCCTGTGACAAAAGCACCATGGGCAATCCGGGGCTGGAGCTGCCTTTCCCCTGAGTAGTTCCACATTAGCGTTTGGAGGAAATAACCAGGTTTATTTTCTGGCATGGATAAGCCGTGATCTCGAAGAAGCATTGATCGGAAACAGGTGAATCAGCAGGATATAAGATTTATGGCCAACGGTTCGGTGCCAACATGTTTCCAACGCTTGCCTGTAACACTGATGGAGTATGGACGGTAAACTACAGCTCTGAGGAATAGTCCTTTGCCCTATTATAACTCGTTCTTTTTTTTTTTTTTTAATACCAATTTTCCCAAAAGACTCAGGCAGTGTTCGGTTGTTCTTAAAATTTGATTTAGCTCATAGAATCCCATTTACCTGTTTAAACCTGTCTTGAATGTCTGTATAATTTCAAATTGCCCTATCCTTTGATGTTCATTTCCAGAGTATGTTCCTGCATTATTCACGGGAAATACATGATTTTAAAATCTTACTTAGCATGATAATTATAATCAAGAAAATTTATTTTTTCCACTGGTTCACCCTCATCTTCACCTAGAAGCTAAGGCCATTGGAATGTGGGGGCCAAAGTCATTGAAGGCTGCTATGGGCAAATCTACCCCCTTTTTAATGATGCAGGAAAGTGGGGTGGCCATTTCAGCAGGGGTCTCCTCTTAAGTACAAAGCTATCCCTGGGGACAGCACAGGGATGCTGATGATTTTGGGAATCCAAAAGGACCTCACAGGCTAACAAATCAAGATGTTGTTTTCCACGACAAGCTGAAACGTAGGTTACCAGGTTAAATGGTAAAATGAAGTTGAGGACTAAGTTGGGAATGGCAAAGGGATTTAACAGTGTGGAAGCAGTGAGGGCAGAGAGCCCGTCCGAGCCCTGGGCTGGACGGAGCGAGAGTCTGGAGCTGAGGAAGGGAGCCAGGGGGTCCTGCCCATTGCACACTGCAGAAGAATCTGCACTTTGCCACCTACAATCATTATTTGTTCTGAGAATGTGCCGCATGGGCCCCAGGGCCCCGTTCAAACAGGAGCGACACGCTTCAAATGATGTCTCTGCCCTCCCTGTCATTCCACAAGCCCTGACTTTTCACTGGCCGGAAGGAGCAGATTGCTTCTAAAATCGGACTTTCGTAGGATCCTCCATGAGATCTCTAAGCCTGCTGGCCGTGGGCAGCGTCAGGCCAGTGTCTCTCAAACTCTTTGCATGTTCAGCACGGCCAGCGGAGCCTCACCCCAGGTGTTCCAAGTCAGGGGGCTGGGGTTCCACAGCATGCAATTCTAACAGGTTCCCTGGTCGTGCTGAGAGTTTCCAGCAGGGACCCCCTGAGCTTGGCCATCTAGGTAATGCAGAGACTGATAACAGTTGGTGATGCGTTCGGGTCAGAGAAACACGCATACTTCTATTTTCTAAAGCAAATTGAAACCAGGTTAGTCGGTCCAGCATCCCTCAGTTAGAGGAAGACTTGTCCTTCTCCCAGAATCACACGTGAGCCCCCAGGACCTTTTGGGAGGCTGTAAAAGGAGCTTCTTCAGCTATGGTCCCACCTTGCACTCTGCACCTAAGACTTGGCTAACCCTCTCTCTGGGTGGACCACTCTCCCCTTGCCCCCCAAGACCATGCAGGACTTGAGGGGCAGAAGACTCTTTCTGCAAAGAACCTTCCTGCAGCAGGTGCTAGCCATGCCAGGTTCCCAGAGGGTGGGTGCAGGGCACCTGCTGAACCCCAACCTCACTGTCTCCCTCTCCTGGTCACCTTTGTGCATTACACAAACTGCCCAAGGGGCCACAACCCCTCCCTCCTTCCCCCAGGCCAGCGTGGCTCCATTTAGGACCTGATGTCACAGGTCCACGGAGGCAGAGCCAAAGCCCAACACTGGGGCAGGAGCCAGGGGGATAAGGAGACACTCTGGTTGGCTGCTGGGCAAGCACACACCTTGGGACTGTGCTCCTTCCGTGCGTCACTGGCTCACTTTCCTCCTGTTTTCTCTGAGACACCGGTCTGGGCCGCCACAGCGTGGTCAGCTGCTGGGAAGGTAACGGGCATGCGCATCTCAGCCCCGCCCAGACTCAGAAACTGAAGGTGGGGGGCTGCAGCGCGTGCTTACCAAACAAGCCGGGGGTCCTGGTGCCACGTGGTAGAGTTTGAAACCTACGGCACTAACGTATGCTCTTCAATCATATTTTTAACAAATGCCATGTCGACCGATCTCCTTAGAAATTCTAGAAAGGGCACCGCCTGGATGGAATGTGCTAGCGCAGCGCCTTCCGCCCCTGATGTTTCTGATCCTGCAGGGGGTCTCCCAGGGTCGCAGCCCTCACGCCCCTGTCCATGCAGCTGTCCTTTCTGAGGGCTTACCACGTAAGGGTAAGCCCTCAGACACTGTGTCTCCCAGCGGCCGTGCCAGTGGTCAGGACGTCCACGTGCAGACCTGGCCCTCTCCAATCCAGACTTCCTCCCATGAAGCCTGATCCCTGGGTGGGCCAGACCTTACATACTAAGTCCTTAGCCCTGCAGTGTAAAAAGCCTTGTACATCTACTCCGAGAAAGGAAAGCCTGGGGCCCAGAAAATAAAGTCTTCCCACAAAAGGCAAGAAGAAAATGAAGTTTTCTTTTGATTTTTGTCAGTGAGTTCACTGGCCCTGACACTGGGTTGGCCCTTCGGAGAGATGTCCCACATCCAGAACTTCCATGGGAATAGTCATCACAGGCTGTCCTCCTCCAGGCCCTTTCTGAGGCCATTCCCAGGAAGGGAGTCAGCTGAGAGCCTTCAGGAGCAAGACGCCGAACATGGGAGCACCAGGCTTCAGTCCTGGACGGTGGCTATTGTTGTGCACTGCAACAGTACCTCAGCATCCAGGGATGATGTCCAGAGATGGGCATCCCCTCTCTGTGAGTGAAGAATCTCGAAGGCAGGTCTTTTTTACAGAGGGTGAGGCTCCTTCGTTATTCCCTTGGTTTTCACCTTGGTTCTCTATATTTCATCATCCCTTTAGGCTCTACCCAGCTGTCCTGGGTGCTTTTAAGTCTAAGGAGGCTTTGCCTCTGTTCTTCCTCCCACCCCCAGTGCTGCTATGAGAAGGCCCAGGCATCATGCTTCCTATCTGTTCTTAATCTTTTCAGCCTCCCGAGGCTACACAGATGCCAAAGCTGACATCTGTTCCCTGTAATCTCGAGAGTTTCTCATCCCTGCCTTATCTAAGGTTGACCTCGTTCTCTGGGTCTCCTGAAATATTAGTGAACACACACAGATGACAGCCATGAAATGCAACTCTGTGCTCTTAACCTGCTCTGCCTGTCCCTGGATGCAGCCCGCCAACACCCATGCTCTCCCTCCCCCCAAACCCTCCACCGCCTCTTTTGAGACACCTGCATCTTACCCATCAAGCTTCCCTGCGTTCCAAACTTCTTTGTAGAAGCCGGCCAGCCTTTGGCCTCCTGAAGCCCTGACTGTGGACCCGCCCCCGCATCTCCTGCAGCCTCTCAAGCAGAGATGGTCTCTCCTTCCATGCTCCGCTAGGTCCGTAATCTCAGAGCGGTGTCTCCCAAGCCGTAGCTTTGGACCTGCAGAATACCACCTCCTTCTGGACTGTACTGGCCTTTTCCCTTCGTCTTGCTGTCCTTTGGGTCACCTGTCATCCTTTGGGTCTAGTGGGCTTCCTCTCCGTGTGGATCCAGGGCCATCCGGTCGCCCCACTCTCTGCTCTCTTATGCCCCTGGTCTCCTTGTCTCCAGTGACTTTCTTCTCTCCCACATCCTGCCCGCGGGGCGTGGTGGTGAATTGCAGGACAACAGGAAACTGGCTTCCAGCGCGCCCCCTTCTGCCGTGGTCAGCCCTACCTTCTCCTCGGGAGGCCGCGTCCTGCCCTGTGCTCAGGTCACCTTCCTTGTACGTGTCCGCCTTTCCCATGTGGTCACTGCTCCCTTTTCTACCCACAGAACATGTAGAGAAACGGGTTTACTGTCCCCCTCACTGTCGTCCTCTCTGAAGAACCGAAAACACTGAAGACGGCCCTGATGGGCCTGAGCCACTCCTCTCATCGCTAGTCACGATTTCCAGTCTGATCTGCCAGCAGCCAGGAGGAGCGGAGCAGGCAGACCCGGGACTGGCATCCCAGAGCTGTTAGACTCTAGCCCAGGTTTGATGTTGGCTCACAAGGCACTCCAGCTTCCTCTCCTACCCCTTTTCCTCTGCTCTCAGGGCTCAGCTTAATTGGCCTCCTTCCAGCTCCCCAGCGCTTCAAGGCCTTCCTTCCATCAGGGCTGCTGCTTGTGCTTTCATCGGCTCTGCTAGCTCATCAGGCCCGGGCCATTCCACTCAAACCCACGGCTAAATGTGTTCTCCAAGGAGGCCTTCCTGACCACCCGATTTAAACTTGCAGCACCTGCTAAGTGTTGAATTGTGCCCTCCCCCCAAAATACAAGTGGCAATCTAGCTACTAATAACCCAAAATGTGACCTTACTTGAAAATGGGTTCATTGCAGAAATAGTTAAGATGAGCTCCTCCTGGAGGAGGGTAGGCGTTTACTTCCATTTGACTCGTGTTCTTCTAAGGAGAGGAGGTGCACAGGGAGAGGACAGCGGTGGGGCAATGAAGCCAGACACAGGAGTGACACATCGACAGCCAAGGGATGCCAAGAATTTCTAGCAAATGCCAGAAGCAAGACAACTCTGCCGGGTTTCAAAGGGAGCCTGGTCCTGACAATGACATGAAGCCCCCAGACCTTTGCATCCCAGTTTCCAGAATTCTAGCATCTGGAGCTGGGAGGCAACAGATTTGTTTCTTGGTCCGTCAGTCTGGAGCACTTGGTTATGGTAAACTCTGACACCTCCCATCACCGAGCCCCCAGATCCTGCTTTCTCCGCA